ACTCATAGGACGCAGGTTGGGTAAAAAAGACTAGCTTCACGAGAGGTGATGTTGTACTCCATCAAAGAAGAGGAAAATGCATCACACATAAGAAGCTGCACTGATAGTGTCCAAACAAGGCCGAAAATCACATATAGGACGAGAATCTAATGAACTGGGGATCATCAAAACAGCCTTCAAGACAAAGAAAGAGAGGATAACGATGAATATCATTCAGTGCTATGCGCCTACCAACAATAACAACGAGGACAATAAGGATCAGTTCTGTAGGAAGCTGTAATCAATCGTAGAGAAATGTCCAGCAAAGAATATAACTATTCTGACGGGAGACCTAAACACAAAGGTCGGAAAAGACAATACCGTATATGAAGACATCACATGACGACATGGGCTGAGAAGGAGGAACGGAAACGGTGAGAGATTCTGAAAACCCATGTGCCCTCAACAAATCGGTCATGAGCGGCACCATGCTGCCACACAAACACATACATAAAGCCACATAGGTCCCACTGGATCACACTAAACAGATACAAACAGATCTACCATGAATCACAAAGGTCAATAGTTTGGACATAATCGGTAGCAGATTTATTACCGAATAAGTGTTACATCAATGAAGTGAATCTTCTTTAAACATAGGTTCAACTATCGACTAGCTCTACGATGCTGGAACACTAACTTCAGGACGTTGTAAACAACTGTGTCTCATAGGCAGAAGTTCACCATTATCCCTAGAAAAGATCGTAAGCAAGTGATCGAGGTGTGGAGATTTACGTCGCTTCAAGTGTTGGAGTTCCTTGCTGTCAACAAGATCCCATAAGCGCCTCACAGTTCTTTCTTCTGTACCTAGACGCGGAACAAGCTTTTCGAAGTTGCGGATCCATTTCAAATGTGTCGTACGTCACCAGAATCTTGAATAAGGGTCTCGATTAGACAACATACATCAACTTTCTAAAGAAAGCCGACCTGCATTAGTATGCAAACGTTGAATGAGGCCAGTTTGAATGGCATACGTAGTGTCCGAAAGACTGACTCAGAATTTGTATTCGGTGGTAGCGTCCATATTTTGACCAGTCATTGATGGGAGATCGTTTGGATCAGTAAAGATTTCCACCATGGGGCAGGAGTTGTGTGTGTTAGGTCAACTCTGGATTGGAATAAAGAAGTGACGTAGTGTAGAAAAACGAAAGTTATCAAATAACTGTAAGCACAATTTTTGAAAGTGAGAGTTGTAGCGAGCATAGAATTTTCCAGCTACTGTCACCAGTTAGTTTCTGTGTTGGCTATGATGCTCCTCGGTTGCCCAAACCGTGGTAGGTAGCTTCTTAAAGGGTCATTCCACGGACCATTGACCGCAAGACCTAGTTCGCAAGGCTGTAGAGAAACGTCAGGGGTTGCAGTACCTTGATAGCCGATAACTAACAATCTATGGGTAACTGCCGATTTTATGCCCCGATAAAGGAGGGTTATGCGCAGGGTTATCCACCTAACTCAGAAAAAATTCTACTAACCAGGAAAACAGTTCGAACCGTACAAAATACTTCTTAGGATCTGGAAGTCCTTGTCGTGTGTACTATTATGTTGAGTCTACACAGCTTGTCCTAACTTTTAGACGCACTGATTAGGCTTTTGAGCTCGAATCAATATTTGCATGTCTTTAATACTGTCAATAACTCATGAGTGCGTATGTGCATGGCTATGAATACTCAGTCATACGTGATAGCATTGAGTTGGCCCACTGGCTTTCCACACCTCATTTTTAAGGCTTTCATTCTCATATCCTTATTGTCCCGTGAAAGCATTTCGAGAGCGAGCCCACCCTTTTCCAGACTGCACCAAAAACTTTTCTAATGGAGCAGCTGATACAGCTTCGAATTAACACATGATGGTGGCCCATATGTGACTTTAGTAAAATAAACATTGACAGACTGAACGAACAACATGACGAAAATTTGATAAGGCTTCGCTTTCAGATACTAACAAACTCAGGTCTCACAAGATCTACTCAATGGAGAGAAAGCTACTATTCAGAATAACTGGAAGGCGATTAAAGAAGCAATAGCATCATCACGTCAGTAGGTGCTGGGTCGTAAGAAGCAACAGAATTAAGAGTGGATCTCTAGGCAAGGTCGAAGAAAGGAGCAACATGAAGACAGCAATCCACAACAGAGGTATCCAAGCTGTGTAAATAGAAACAAAGAAGCGAGTGAAGAGGGGCATTAGAGCTGCTAAGCGGAAACGTGTGCAAAACCTAGCAATGACAGTGGAAAATGCAGCGAGAGAAGATAGTATCAGACAAATATACGATAAAACGAATCAGGCTGGGAAGTATGGCAAACCAGTACGACCAATCAACGAGATGTGCAAACTGCTGGGTAGAGCGTTTTGGAGAATTCTTGAATAGACCAGCCCCACTGAATTCACCTACCGTAGAAGCAGCATCTAAAATCCTCCCACCTGATGTCGACCAAACAACAACTGAAGAAACCAGCATCGCTATCAGACAAATAGAGATTGGCAAAGCAGAAGGACCAGACAACATTTCAGTCGAGGTGCTGAAAGCCAGTCAGTCAGGTACAACGTAGAACTTCGTACGTACGCACGCCAGTTCAGGTTGCCATACCACATTAGCACAGAGATGCAATTTTCAGTTCAAATCCCATACTGGTAGAGATGGTAGGAGTATCAGCGGTTATGGAGAAGATTACGGTTCAAACATATTATATAAGAAGTATAATTCAGTGAAATAAATTTAGAAAGATAGAGGTGATGGGGAATTCAGATTAGAATTTCAGACAAACTGGACAAAGCAGTAACCGCGAAGATGTTCCGCGGTCTGTTCAGCAAGATTTGGGATGAAGAGCAAGTACCAACAAACTGAAACAAGGATACCTCAACAAGAAAGGGGATTTTAGCAAGTGTGATGTCTACAGATGTCTACTACTGTCCATACCAGGTAAATTTCCAAACAGAGAATTACTGATTCGAATGAAAAGTCTACCAGATACACAACTTTCAAATCAACAAACTGACCAACGTGTACCAACCAAATTGCGACACTGCCAATCATTTGAATAAAACTCATTATCATACACCAACGTCCTTGACTACGAGAAAGCACTTGGCAATATGGACCGTGGTACATTGTGGAGCCTTCTTAGACAATATGGTGTACCTCAGAAAATAGTCAACACCATATGGAATTCTCACGGACACAGTCAATCAGCTACAATGTAGAACTTAGTACGTAAACCAGTTCAGGTTGCCATGCCAGATACAATCAACAACAACCTTATGTGGCAAAGAACAAATCCGATTCCAGCTGATTGAGAAAAAGCACATGGGGCGGACACAACACAAACTGCGGAAATCACCCAGCTGCATCACGAGACAATTCCCAACTGAGTCCACAAATTACAGGGGAAAGAGCAAGACGAAAGAACAGAATGTGCTGAGAATTAGAAGTAGACATGATAAGAACAAATGACAATTGGAAATAACTGGAAAGAAAGGTTCAGGACACAGTTGGTTCGCAGACTTTGTTCAGCGGCCTGAGCTCCACTGGAGGTAACAGGCGTACAAAAGTAAACAAATCCCAACTAGGATCTCATTTAATCCAAGTGCTAAGACTGAACCACCATCCTTAAGAATCCCAGGGTTTGAATAAAAGAACAACTCGACCAATAGGAAATAAATTGTGAACTCCGAACTGCCGACGGTGTTCGATTCCGTCCAATACATACAGCAAAAGCCATAGGAATTCGAATAATAAACCTCATTTTGTGTTCAGAATACGTTTGTAACAATTCTGTTCCTTCGTTGGCCGGATAATGCTAGATAAAAAATTGTTTTTTTTGTTATTAGCATTATTTTCACGTCCTGTATTCGTTGAACTACCGACAAGAACACTTTTTGTCGTATTTTATTATTCTTAATACTATCAGTAGACCTGATTTCATACTATTAACTAGTCCTTTTATCTATTATATGCAGTTACGCAATCTATTTCATTGTGATTGACTAGAATATTGAGAATGGGTGTAATCTCATCTGACTAGTCTTGATCAACTCAGTTCATAAAGAACGAGAAATACCTCCTTTGAATTATTTTGATTATAAGTGACTAGGATAGTCGTTTTAATAACCATTCGACAATAAATTGAAGTTTACAAGACAACTAGGCTAGTTTCAGGCTTGTGTAAATTTATTTCACCTTTCGCCAGGTTTTGGAACGCAGACAGTTACCTCGACATTCAGTCGTAGTCATTACTAAACGCCGTTGTGGTGTTTGGTTGCGCAAACTAACGTGGAGAACTGCTATCGGTACTCTAAGTGGTGTTCGTTCGCTTCCCCCACCTCTGACTAACGTTCTTTTAAAGTGTTCTCATCGTCTGACCTTTTAAAAACTAATGGCGTTCATAAGCCATTAGACAATAAAATAAAAATCCCCGGTTCAAAGGAGATAAAGACCGATCTCAGCCAAATGCAGATTTCCAATAAACAAACGCACAAATTTACAGGGAGGACATAAGTATTTCTTAGAGATTTTATGTCTGAACAAGGAAATACAAACTAGATATGACAATATGGTTGTCGTACTAATTTACGCTTTGGTTTTGATCGTAAGCCCATGCATGTTCTTTATTTCGTCTCTCAAAGCCTAAAAGAGAAATATTTTCGGACAGATACGCACCTTTTTAACAGCTCGATGTTGTTGTAAAACGGACAAAGACGCAAACTCTCCTGCTTCGATAACTATTTCGAACATAGCTCCACAACCACCTGCACCAAAAATTCAAATAATCTTAGGTTCTTACCACTCACATCAGAAACAGACACAAGTCTAGCGTTCGGGAAGTTCTCTCTCAAAACAGTCTCGATTTTTGTCTCCCTGGCAGTGGCCATACAGCGAATGCATCGAAGTCCAATACTGAAAAACTTCTGCAGAAATGCAAATCGTCAGTATTTATAAGTGAGAATACAACTAAGGACCAAGTATTACTAATATAATTTATTTCAAACAGTAACATCTAACACTAAACTACATAAACAACTTATTCTTCCCTCCAACGCTTTGTGGCGATATCAAATTTGTAGGCATCAGCAATCGATCCTGACCGACTGAACACTTTTTTGTATAAAAGAGCTTCCTTGTACTCAGGCAGTTGAAGTACATTTTCCGGGGGTAGGACAACTACAGTCATGAGTTTTTGAAACACAACTCACCAAAAGTGCGGATGTATATGTAGAAACTAAGACCAATACTGATGAAGATTAAGCCATACGCTATTCCCATTTTCCATTGACCATGTGGAGCTAACATTTCAGCGAAAGTACGTTGAAAACTATGACGATATAAAGTCTTCACTTCATCTGCCGTCAATTTACTCCAGTCCCCTTGTTCCTTTTCCCTAAGTTTAGCAATCTATTAGGAAGTTAGCAGACAAATAGATAGCTTTAGATACTTTACCTCAGGTGTGTGATTGCGAAATCTGATTGAAGGGTAAGGGTTTGTTATATCATCATAATACATAGGATTGCCATTCACTCCGAAACCCACTATTTCACGGTTACCGATATGTGGATAAAACTTTTGTTCCAGAGGTGAAAGCACGGAGCATGAGCCCTTTGGAGAGACAGTAGCAGTCGTTGCTTTCCGAATTAAAGTTAAATAAACAGGACACGTCCGAAACACCATCACGAAGCGCTCGAAACAAATGGTCAGCGACCTTCAATGTCCAATAAAAATAGTCTAATAAGTAAGCCGAAAAAAAATTGGATATCCCAGGTATGACACGTTATTTGAAACTCTAAAAATACTATTCTGCAAAGAAGCAACTTTTAGGAGTATTTCAATTTATTCTTATATGTTCACTTATGTATGGTTTTTCCAGTCCCTGATCTGAGGCTTCATAAAGACCATACTAGGTTTCATAGCAATGATTCGATATTCTGATAACGAGTGATGTAGCCCTAAAATTCCTGAGCACCCGGTGTGTTTTCAGTTATTACCCCGAACTGCTCCGATAATAAACTTGATATTTTCGTCGGGACCCAACATTTGATATTGATTTACTTATGCTGTTGTGTATGCTCCAAAGATCGACCTAGATTTCTTAGTTAGCTGGTGAAAACTGCAGTTCATGTTGCACATATCTTGATATGCATATTGAACCTGCGAATGTCAACAACTAAAATACAATCGAAATCTCGTTGCGTTATGTCTAGAGAAGACATTGGTACATGATCACAAGGCCGAAATTCAGCATCGTTAGGTCATGACTAAAAAGATTAAAACTAAAAAAGCGACAAACTATATCGCTACCGGTTAGACTTAGGCAGGTTCTTCATAATATTTACAAACCTCTTTTCATGTCTGTTTGTTTAACAATGCTTTCCTCATCCTTTTGAAGTCAAAAATGACTCATTACTGGTTGGCACCAATGTTAGCTGAGCAGAAGCTTCAGTTTTGTTCACGAATTTGAGATTCCTTTATAAGTACATGTCGTCTCGTCTTACACAATAACATCTGAACATCCACTCAGTTCACGACCACCGTTACAGAAGTAGAGTATGCGTGAGGCGCAAACGACACTTCAAAAACTACTTATATTGTTAAAATGCTCCAAAATAATTCGATTATTTTGACAGTTGTCGTCTAACATTTAGGAGATATGAATTTTATACATCCTATTTTACTTGTGTATGAAGTTTGTGTCTTGCAAAGGCTGTCATCTTTTTAAAAATTCAACTTAACTAACACATAAAGAGTATATTCCATTTAAGTACACTATACATAGTGGTTATTCGGAGCCCTTGTGGCTTATGCGTGAAAGATGGAAGGGAACTATAATGTTTATACTTGTGCAGTGTAGATTTCTTGTAATATGAAGATCACTAACTAGTTCGATTAAGAGGTTAGGCGACTGCTACTGATTAGATGTTCATGAAACTATTCTTGTTCAGGACCATTTACTTCCAAAATAAGATGATATGAAAAGTTTGAACAGAGAAATGAGAAGACATATTTTGTGAGATAGTAAGTACCATTTCGTGCTTTGTCGTCAGTCACATAGAAGCAACATGTTATTTGTGCAAATACAGTTTTGAAGATAAGGTCAAAATTTCTTATTTAGCATAACATTCACTCACCAGAACTATGGTAAACAAATGTCAACATGCTGTTGTTTTTGAACACATAAAGTTGGACTTATCCGACCAATCAAGATAGCTTCGAGTAGTTTGATTGTGTGTGGGTTTTGATGACATGTCACAATTCTAAAGGCTGATTTTGGGTCAATTTGATGACCACTCATCATTAGATGTTTTGCAGTGGACGAGGCTGGGTTTCTTGATCGATTTTGAGATGACGGGCTAGGATGATGAATCATGGATTTGATTAACCAGTTTGGAATATGTTCCCCTATCCTGTCTTCCAATCGGCGATCTCTCCTACCTAAGTAACTTTCTCTGCAGTTACATGTCAATTGGTAAATACAGTGTGATTTGGACTGAATCTGTTACAGATCCGTCACAGATCGATAACGTGAAGTTGGTCGTAAAACAGATATGCCGAGAACTACATCTAATCATCACCGAGTCCCATTATAAAATGCTCAAGCCCATTGGCACATGCACACCAGAAATGTATGGCTTACCGAAACTACACAAGCCTACAACACCTATGAGACCAATTTTGTCCATGATAAATTCATCATACCATAAGCTAGCAAAGTGGCTGAAAGAGATTTTGGATCCTGTTTGTAAACAACTGTCGACACATACTCTCATCAATTCCTTTGAACTTCTCCCAACCTTTCTAATAGTCGGATGTGTTCTTTCGATGTAAACTCTTTGTTCACAAATGTACCTCTCGAAGAAACTGTGGAATTTATTTGTGACTTCATAACTTCACACAACATATGAATACCCATTCCGACTACCTATCTTCGAGGTCTAATTTTGCTGTGCAAAAAGAATATAAAGTTCTATGTCCAAGGTAAAGCATATACGCAAATCGATGGAGTGGCTATGGGAAGCCTTCTCGGACCTGTTTTAGCAAACATACCCATGGGAATGATAGAAAGGCAAGTGAGACACTTCATCGATGGTATTACACTTTAGAGACGATATGTCGACGATATTCTAGTCATATTACCACATTCTACAGATATTAATCTAGTCAATGATTTATTTAATGCGATTTGCCTGAATCTGAAAGTCACTTATGAGGACGAAAAGAATATTGAACTAGCTTTCCTCGATTAAACTCCGCCAGTAGAACCTTCGGGGCTACTGCCGGTCCCAAGCCCGGGTAAAGGAGGAGGGTTGGACATGGGGTTGGCGACCCCATTCCGTCAAAAACTAACTTGCCAAAAAAACGCTAACCAGAAAAAATAATTCAAACCATTTTAACTCTGCCCTGGGAGTTGGAGGAAGAATTATGACGTCTCGTGATGAAAGCCGAGTTCCCTCGGAAGTCACGGGGCTGATGCCTCTTCTGACAACCAGAGCAACCATTTTTTTAGGTACATGGAACGTTCGTACATTGTGGGAGACTGGAAGACTATTTCAAGTTGCGGCAGAAATGAAAAGATACAACCTCGAGGTGCTTGGAATCAGTGAAACACATTGGACACAAGTAGGACAACTGAGACTAGCTTCAGGGGAACTGCTGTTATACTCTGGTCATGAAGAGGAAAATGCTTCACATACACAAGGAGTTGCATTGATGCTGTCCAAACATGCACAAAAGGCACTGATAGGATGGGAATCTCATGGACCCAGGATCATTAAAGCATCCTTCAAAACAAAGAAAGAGGACATTACAATGAACGTCATCCAATGTTATGCACCTACCAATGACTACAATGACGACGATAAAGATCAATTCTACGAAACGCTGCAGTCAATCGTTGAGAAATATTCACCAAAGGATTTGACGATTCTTATGGGAGACCTGAATGCCAAGGTTGGAATGGACAACACTGGATATGAAGACATCATGGGACGACATGGACTGGGAGAAAGAAACGAAAACGGTGAGAGATTTGCAAACCTATGTGCCTTCAACAAACTGGTCATCGGTGGCACAATATTCCCGCACAAACGCATACACAAAGCTACATGGATTTCACCGGATCACACTACTCAAAACCAGATTGATCATATCTGTATCAACAAAACGTTCAGAAGGACTATGGAGGATGTGAGAACCAGGAGAGGAGCTGATGTAGCCTCAGATCACCATTTGCTAATCGCCAAAATGAAACTGAAACTAAAGAAGCACTGGACAACGGGACAGACAACATCGCACAAGTTTAATACGGCCTTTCTTCGGGATACTGTAAAGCTCAACGAATTCAGGATAGCCCTCACCAATAGGTTCCAGGCCTTTCAGGATCTACTCAATGGAGAGGACACAACATTGGAGAACAATTGGAAAGGGATTAAGGAGGCAATCACTTCAACATGTCAGGAGGTCCTTGGTTGCAAGAAGCAGCATCATAAGGAATGGATCTCTGTTGGTACTCTCGCAAAAATTGAAGGAAGGAGGAACAAGAAAGCAGCAATCAATGTCAGCCGAACAAGTGCGGAGAAAGTTACCGCACAAGCTGCATACACAGAAGCAAACAGGGAAGTGAAGAAGAGCATCAGAGCTGACAAACGAAAATACGTGGAAGATCTAGCAACGACGGCGGAAAAGGCTGCAAGAGACGGAAACTTGAGACAATTGTACGAAACTACAAAGAAGCTCGCCGGGAACTATCGTAAACCAGAACGACCAGTGAAAAACAAGGAAGGCAAAGTAATCAGCAACACTGAACAACAGCGAAATAGGTGGGTGGAGCACTTTAAGGAACTATTGAATCGACCAGCTCCTCTGAAGACACCCAACATCGAAGCAGCATCCACGGACCTCCCAATTAATATTGGCGCACCTACGATTGAAGAGATCAGTATGGCCATCAGACAAATCAAGAACGGCAAAGCAGCAGGACCAGACAACATTCCAGCAGAGGCAATGAAAGCAGATGTAGAAGCAACCGCGAAAATATTTCACATCCTCTTCAAGAAGATTTGGGATGAGGAACAAGTACCATCAGACTGGAAGAAAGGATACCTGATCAAAATACCAAAGAAAGGCGATCTCAGCAAGTGTGAGAACTACAGAGGCATCACTCTTCTTTCAATACCAGGCAAAGTCTTCAACAGGGTGTTGTTAAACAGAATGAAGGTCTTCGTAGACGCCCAACTTCGAGATCAACAGGCCGGATTTCGGAAGGATCGATCGTGTACTGACCAAATTGCTACATTACGGATCATTGTGGAACAATCAATTGAATGGAACTCCCCACTCTACATCAACTTCATCGACTACGAGAAAGCATTCGATAGCGTGGACAGGAAAACACTGTGGACTCTTCTTCGACACTACGGGGTGCCTGAGAAAATAGTTAACATCATACGGAATTCTTATGATGGATTCAACTGCAAAATCGTGCACGGAGGACAGCTAACCGACTCTTTCGAGGTAAAGACCGGTGTCAGGCAAGGTTGCTTACTCTCACTCTTTCTCTTTCTCCTGGTCATCGACTGGATTATGAAAACGTCAACATCTGGAGGGAAGCACGGTATCGACCGGACAGTTAGGACGCAGCTGGACGACCTGGACTTCGCAGATGACTTGGCTCTTCTATCGCACACTCAACAACAGATGCAAGAGAAGACGACGAGTGTAGCAGCAGCC